TTCTTTCTTTCTTTCTTTCTTTCTTTCTTTCTTTCTTTCTTTTTTTTTTTTTTTTTTTTGATGTGGGTTGTTTACTCCTTTCTTATTGTCTTTCCTTGGGAGTAGGTGATTTTTCTCTACCAGCATTTGTGGAAGAGACTGTCTTTCCCCAGTGTATGTTTTGCTGGCTTCTTCACTAATCCATTGGCTGTAGATGTGTAGTTTTTTATTGGAGTCTCCATTTTTGTTCCTTAGGTCTATGTGTTCGTTTGAATGCTAGGATGGTACTGTGCTGTTGTGAACGTCATGACCACAGTATGTCCTGACATCCCTTTGCATCGACTGTCACTTCCACCCTTCCCTTTCCAGTCTGTTTGTCTTTACTGATGGAGTTTCTTGTCAGCAGCACATTGTTGAGTCTTGTTTCTTAAAATCCATTTCAGCATATCTTTTAACTGGCAAACTTAATCTATTTACACTGCAGGTTAATATTGATATGGGAAGAATTACTCCTTGCATTTTACTTTGTTAATTTTGCTAACGTTGGTGCACTTGAGTGACATTTATTCTTTTCTTTCTGTCTTGTCTCTCGCTTTGTGGGTTGGGTGGTCTTCAGGATTAATAAGGGTTGATGATTTTTCTCTTTTGTTTGCTCTTTCACTGGGTTTTATGCATCTGTGTGTTTTCTTAGTGGTGGTCATTGTTCTTTCACCTCTGAATGAAGGACTCCCTTAAACATTTGTAAGGTTGCTCTAATTGTAGTGAATTCTCATTTTGCTTGTCTTGCAAAGTATTTATTTCTCCTTATTTCTGAAGGACGGCTTTTCTGGGTAATATTTTCTTGGTTGGAAGTTTTCTTCTTTCTGAACTTCAAAAACATCTTCCTGAAGCTACAAGGAGAAGGAAAACTCAGACAAAACAATGTACCTGTGGAATCGGAACAGGAAGGATTTTCCTGTCCAGAAATGATTGCTCTGGGCCTTCCTCCCTGGGAGAACCTCCTGGTTGGTGATAGACCCTTTAAAAAAGCCTAAGCAAACAAAATCTCTGCTACAACTGAAGGGCAGGCAGTGGCAGGATGCTGTCTCTTTGTAACCCCTTTGATGCTGAATAAACAAACACTGTCCCAGCAGAAATGTATGTGGACCCATCTGACATTCCCAGACATTCCAGAACAGTGCTGAAATCTGATCAGAAAGCACCCCTTACCCCAAGGCTGAGGTAAGTTTCCCATAACCCCTGAAGAATGGAGTTTGGGGTCAGAAATTACAGAGTTAGAGAAAGCAAAATGCATTTCTTTCACAAAACATTTCTATTTCCTCCCAGTCCCTAAGATTTTTGCTGAGAAACCTGCTGTTAGCCAAATGGGGGTTCTGTAAATGTGACTTGGTATTTTTTTCATGCTAACTAAAAATTTGGAAGAGGGGTTGAAGGGAGGGTAGAGCAATGGGAGAAAGTTCTGTCTTTGTCTTGTAATTTTGACAGCTTAACTAAAATGTGCACTGCAAGGATCTTTTTGTGTCACATATATCCCTTGGGCCTTCTGCCCCTTCATATGCATGTCTTTCTCAATATCAGGAAAAATTACAACCATTGTTTTATTGAGTAGGATTTGCATGTTTTTAGCTTCTTATTACCTCCCAAGACCTGGAAAATTTGAACATCAGATATTTTTGATACCGGGAATCAAACTCAGGACCTTACGCTTGGATGCAGGTGCTTGTACCACTGAGCTGTGTCCCTGGACCTGAACATCAATTTTAAATGATGTCCTACAAGACTTTCTTCATTCATTTTCATTTTTCCCTTTTGTTACAACACTGAGACATTTCCACCTTCAAGTTCGGAAGACATTTCTGTTTCTTGGTCTCATCTGATGTTTATGTTCTCATCTGTACTTTTTAACTTGATTTATCGAGTTCTTCATTTCAAAATTTTTCAATGATGTCTATCTCTGTTGAATTTGCTAGTCATATCCTGAATTGCTTTCTAATTTTCTTGAATTGTCTGTCTGTATTCTGTTGGATATCACTGAATTTCCTTGTAATCATTCTTTTGAATTCTTTATCATGCATTTTTTTCTATATTCTCTCTTTTGGGGCTTGTGGTTCGAGAGTTGTTATGTTCTTCTGGCGATGTCATGGGACTTTGCTTTTCATACTGTTTGTGTCTGTACTGGTATTTGCACATCTGGCAGTTCCATTCTTTTTACCAATTCTGTAATGTGGCTTTCGTAGAAGCCTGAGGATGGGCCACAGGATGTGGCTCCAGTTAGGTGCTCGGTATAGTTTTTCTAATTTCTAATTTCTCCAACTGCAGACAATGGCTTTGGGTACAGGGTGTAGAAGAGCTCGCTGTCTTTAAGGCACATGTAGGGGTGAGAGCAATGCACAGCCAGGGGGATCTGATACACTTAAAGGGGCAAGATACTGGACACAGAGCAGCTGGACATGGGGGAAGGGAGTGCTGGGGGGTCAAAGCCAAGTCCCCATGATGGTGTGTACCAGGGGCAACAGGAGGAGTGAAGCTCCTATTCTCAGATCCAGCAGGGGCCTGAGCTTAAGGTTAGAGATGAGTGAAAGTTTAAGAAGAAAGGAGGACAAAAGATAAGGTCAAGGAGTCAGCTGTACTTACCGTTTGGTAACAAAAAATAAAAGAATAGTGACGTTTGAACTCATATAAAATGGCCACATTTAAAAAAGAACCTTGCATATGTTCCTTAGCTTGTTCTAATCACTTCACAATGTGTATGTGAGTCAAAACACCAAGTGGTACACCTTCAATATGTACAATGTTTTCTATTTTTAAAGGATTATAATGGGGGGAGGACTCTGTCTCCTGGTGCTAAAGCCCCGATCCTGAGCACAGTGCAGTGAGCCACCTCCGCTGGGCAGATCGCCTTGCTCTAGGGTTTCTCTGGCGGCAGCCT